TTGCAACACAGCAAGCCGTGATACGACTGCGCTGTCGCATCTCGTGGTCTCGTGCGATGGCGCGCGCATAGTATTCGACTCGCCGACGGAAGCTCCCCATTCAACGATCATCCACTGCAAACAAAATCTAGTCACATCAGTCAGCCTTTCTCTTCACAACCAGGTCAAACAAAAAACTTACATCTCCCCGCCCAATACCCCGCATCCTCATCCCCCACCACCACACTTTGCAGATACCCCAAATAACACCCCAATGTACCATCAAAAGACCGGCCTGGGCGTGTCGCAGAATCCTCATCTCCTGTATTCCCACCGTATTTCTTGCGAAACTCGCGGTTGATCACAATCACATCTTCACCACCATCTCCACGCGATACATTCCGCTGTATGGTCTCCGATGGATTGATGGATTTCCCACCTGGCCCTTCAACGCACACGATGCGCCCGTAGCCGTTGACCCAGATGTTGGGGCAGCGCTTAGTGTCTGGGCGGGTGCGTTTATACGTTTGTTGGAAGTCGGTCAGGGCGATGAGAGCGCATGTGCGGAGATGGGCCAACGAGACAGACGCCTTATCGTTTGTATCGCCGATCTGGAACGTGATTTTCCTGTCACGGCTATCGAGGTAGGAAGTCACGCGTAGGAAGTCGAGTATATTGATACGCAGATCATCGAGTTTGGGTGCGAGCGAAACGTTGAACTGAAGTAGAAACTCCAGGTCACGAATTCCCTTACGTCTGTTGCTCATCCTCCAGGGCTCGCGCAGAGTAGACGCGGTGCAGCAGAAGATGCGTAGTTTGTCGAAGTGGTCGAAGTCTGTTTTCACGTCTGTACTCCGCATCTTGACTGAGATTATATTGGCCAGCCAGAAGCGGTAGTAGCACTCCGATCGCAGATGTTGCGATACCGATTCCAGCACTGGAGTTGCGCCTACTGTGGTCTTTTGGTCCAGATCAATGGTGACTATACTTCGCCAGGGGTCAAGGAACCCTTTAGCGAGACAAAGCGATTCGAAGAGGCGGATCTTCAGGTGCTGTGGTAGGTTCATCAATCCGGGGGTGTCAGCGGGCTGAAGTGACAGCGTCGTGCCGCCGTTCGTGATGGAGAATTTCCGCTCAACGTAGGTCCTCTCAACGCGGGGACGATTGTGTGACGGCTTATAGTAGTTGTAGTCGAACAGGATATAGCCTTCTAAACCATCCCTTCGGATGAGAACATCGTGCACCTGACGTCCACAGTTCTTCAGACCGAGATCGTCGCGTCGGAGAGCGATGAGCGCGTTTGTGATAGCATTAGTGTCAAAGACTGGATGTGTCTTGTTACCTCTGTTCTCCGGATGTGTCTTGCTAAACATGGGATTAAAATCATTGTTGTTCCGGTACTTGTAATTTTTGCCTGCTCCCTTGGGGCTAACAATCTTGATCGCACGGACCGCATTAGGGGTTGCCCAGAGACATTTCAGCAGATTGCCTAATTTGACAGCCTCAGCCATATCAGTTGTATCCTTGCTGGAGTCAATTTTTAGGCGCCATTTGAGTTGGTCACCGCCATTGTCGGTGTTTTCAGCCAAGTTGACAATAACCTTGTGTACCATGGCCGAACTGGATCCGAGCATAGTCAACCATGCCGCGAGGTCGTCTGCTTGTGTAACTCGGTACCCTGACTTGTCATACGAAGCCCTTGAGATAACCCACGTGTTACTCGACAGGAATAAGGACGTGGCCTCGTGGTAGACTTGCCGGCACGTGAGAAGCAGCTTTAGCGCATGTGCGTGTTGGGTGTATATCGGACGAGTATCCGCGGAAGCAAACCTCTGGTCTCGGACAAGCTGATGTATTTCGATCTCGCCGTGGGCCGGAAGTAGATAGCTATAGATTTTGTTCCGGATCTCTCCAGGTAAAGAGAAGAGAGTTTTCGCACCAGACACAGCGGGAATGGCTGGAGTTTCCGGTATTGGTTCCGTTCGCGGGAGTGTTGCCATAGTTGTTGAGTTCGGGTGAGTTGAAGGGAGTGAGAGTCGGCTGTACGGGTCATTATATACAACAAAGGAAGAAAGGTCAGCATCTGTGCCCCAGTATCGCTCGTACCTCCTGACATAGATTCACCTTGCTTGCATGAAGTGAAGCCCTTTTCTCTTGACTGTGACTTGGGCCGGGGTAGCACCCGACTACATAGTATTGGTGAAAGAGTATTGCCTGCCGCGTCGGTAATTGAATGTACTACGGTACGAGCAAGAGCTAATAGGCGTAAGTACTGGTAAGAGTGAGTAGAAGTACGCACGGGATAGCCTGAATAGGCACCATGTACGACCGTAGCCGTAATACGAGTGGAGAAGGGCACATACCAGCGTTGACAAAAAGTGACTGTTCTCTTGTCTCTCAATCTTCGCCACCGTCAACAGCCCTGAGAACTTTCACACTCGCACCAAGCTGCCAGAGATGACCTAAACCGCCTCCCCTCCGCCTCCTCGACCCACTTAGCAACCGAGTACCTGTTATTTGTGAAAGACTGCTTGCCTAGAGCCACCGCACTCGTTTTCCCCACAAACAGGCTGTGAACCAGTGAGCCCCACCTTCCAATTCACCCTTGCCGCGCTACTAGCTTGTACCCGCGACATCCTAACCTACCCTACGCATCCGGAATCTGGAAAACTACAGCAGTCAGCAAACTCCCTCGTCACTAATAAGACCCAAAACAACTTACAGGCATCAGACCAGTACTTCGGATTCACACCAAGCCCACACCGCTGGAGCCAGCCGATATAAAAGCGTGCAGAGCCGTCGAAAGCCTCGGCAGGCGGGGTATAGCCATCCATATCGTGCCAATACTTGTGCCCTTTGAGTGAAAGACCGTATTCTCGGAAGATGGTACGGCGATGTGTGCTCCAGGGTGTGTACCTTTGTATGTACGTTTGAGGATCCATCGTCGTGTCTGCGCTCTCGATTTCAACAACTTTGCCGAGACCATTGAGCCAGATGTTGGGGCAGGGCCTGTGATTGGCATCTGGATGCTTGCGGATGAACTCTGTTAGAGCTATTAGGACGTACCAGCGTAGTTCCTCGAAGGATGTGGAGGTATTCGATGGGGCGACGTCCTGGCCGCGTGTCGCAGATATAGTAAGATTTCCTTTCTTGTTTCCTATAGTAGAAGTGATATGAAGAAAGTCGGTGATGTTGATACGGAGATTCTCTGGAGTAGTCGCCGTTTCTACTTCAAGCAAACAGTCGAAGTGTTGAAGTGTATGTATTTCCCTGCCGCGCCAAGGAAACTGTGCCGATCTGCCAATACACCAAAATTTCTCTAGTTTGCGAAAATCGTCAAAGTTGGTACGTTTGTCCTTGGAAGCCATTTTGACTATCCACTTGTTGGTTGACTGAAGTTGACTGAAGCTCTCCCCTCTAAGTTTCTGACACACGGAAGCCAGAACCAGGTCCCCGTCCTCACATGTCCCCTTATCCAAGTCGAAGGTTATGGTCTCTCCGCGTTGTGTGACGTGCTTGATTATCTCGCTTCTGATATTTTCTGGCAGTTCCAGTATGTGATCCAATTTAGAGGAAGGAATGAGAGTTATTGCGTCACCGTTTTCGGAAACGCGGAAATACTGCTTATGAGTCGGGTCTATGAACGAGCGGCCAAAGAAGATACCCCCTGTTCTGCCACCCCTATCAATAAGGATTTCGTGTACTGCATCGCCGTATTTGAGAAAGCCGAGTGGATCCTGGACTAGAAGTCGGAGTACGTTGTTCAGACGAAAGAGGTCGAGGCCGGAAGTAGCTAGAGGGGTTGTCGTGCAACGTGCTGGATGGTTGAATGGAGTGCCAAACATAATCTCCACGTCGATAGCGTTGTTGGAAGGCTTGTGGAGTTCTCTCACCAAGTCTTTGAACCTAATGCTAGTGGCTATAGCGAGGTATGGGTCCTGAATATCACGAGAAATATGAAGGTCTTGACACGTAGGAGAACATGTTCCCACCATATCGATTTCCAATTTTTTTAGCAATCCGGATTGAGAACCAAGCGCGCTCAAGAAGATCGCTGCGTCTTGTAAAAGTGTGACAAGCTGGGATCTAGATGTATAACGTTTCAATGCAACGGTCCAGGTGTTACTCTTCAGAAACGTGGTGACGGCTTCGTGATAGACCTGTCGACATGTTGAGAGTAATGGCTTCCCTGCGAGGAATTGTGCACGTGTGCTTTGTATACCTTCGATATGGCAACCGTCTTTTACGAAGGATACGTGATCCTCGTCCGTATTCTTTAGTCTTATACTCGTCGAAGATGCCAACTCTGCGGCGGGCGGCGGGTACCAACGCCTGAAATTACAGTCGTGCAGTTGATGCGCCTGACTGTCTACAGCACCTTTCGTGAAGAAGATTCCATATATCTGGTTTCGGATTTCGGCTGGTAGATCAAGGAAGGAAAGGATATCCGGGTTGGCTTTCGTAGAGTTGCCTTTTGCGATCGACTTCGGCATGTTGTTCGGCGCCATGTTGTTGGCTCGAGTAAGAGAGTTGAGTGCTAACGTATCGTATTGCGCGTTCGTCATATGAGTCATATGCGATTGCTAATCGTCGTTTTGAAGATAAAAGCAGTAGTGCAGTGTTGCAATGTTGCTTCTCTGATAGGTAGGTGTCTAGTACCATGGGATGGATGGAAAATGCAGTCGACAACTACAGTTCAGTGGTGACCCGAACAGGTTGAGTGTTGAAAGGTGCGGTAAGTGCTTGAGATCGAAAAGCCGGTTTATATACAGAAGTAATGAACGGAGACCTTTCGAATGTCTGTGCACCAGGCAGATTCCGTAGTGGCGATGTGCGCCTTAAGTCGTAGCGTTCCTGCGTTGGCAAGGTAAGGAACCACGGCCTCCAGGTCAGTGCACTGCACCTGCTTGATCAATCAGGCTGCCGCTCTCTCTTTCTCCCTTCGAGTATTTAAAGAACCAGCTCCGTCAATTCCAGTCTGGCATACTTTTTGACTCAACCTCAGCGACCAAACATCCGAGATGGCGATCCGATTCATCGAAATCCCGCGGACGAAAGCCAGCAAAGCCCACATCGGTGGCTCAATCCTCGATTTACCAGGCGAGATTCGCACCATGATATACATTGATCTCTTCGAACCTAAAGAAAACATCCGATTCCTGTGTTCGGAGGACAAAGAAACGGGTATCCAGGACGAAGATATGAAATCAAATTCATGCGCACCGGTCAATACGGCTGCGTTTGCCAGTATCCGCGATGGTATGAATTTGCTGCGCAGCTGCCGGCAGATCTATGACGAGGCCGCAAGTGTTTTGTACAGCAACAACACTTTCGTGTTCGGCATGATACCAGACGGCCATATCAAAACGTCTACACAGATCAAGGCGGTCGCAAAAGGATTTGGGCAGATTCAATCGGCTGCGATCTGGTGTTCGGGGTCCCAGATGCAGTATGTACGACGGGTGAAGATCGATGTCGCCAATGGATGCTTGGAAAGTGCCTGCCTCGAGCATTATCCATGGTTCCAGAACGTCGATCTTGCTCCGCTCGTAAAGGCAATGTGGTCACCTTCGGCTGTGAAAGCTGATTTCGAATTCGTCCTGTCTGACGCGGGTCTTGGCGATAGAAATTATATTCCGCACTTCGCTCAGTGTCAGCTATTTGACATCAAGACTGTCAACACAGTACTAGAGTACCTCCGCGCAGATACCGACGACTTCAAGAAGTACTCTGGGCAAATTCTTTCTGTGCTGACCAAGCCATTCAAGTTTGCTCCGTTTCACTATTGGAGTAGTCCTGGGTACGTTGTGCTTGGCCGTCATGGCAGTCATCGAGACGCACAACAATACTTTCAACTGTGCCCTGGCAGGAAGAAAGGCAAGCCTCCCACCACAAAGCGATGGTATTACCCAAACCTGTTGAGTTTGCCCGAGAGTGTACGGAGACAGATTTATCGATACGTTACGATTTCCAAGAGGGCTGCGTCTGCGGACTTATCGATGGAACAAAATCCGAATGTCTATCCGGGGATCTTTCCTATCAAGGATTTTCTCGCCGTCGATACATCATAGATGAAGCGTGAAATAACAGAACGGGCTTGACCGAGCGGAACCTTTATAATCAGTGCGTTTTCTCCTGCTCCACTACGAACATCCAGGGCGAAGAGTTGGGAAGGAACGATCGATGGACATGGTAAAGGCAGCGGTATTAAGCGATGGGATATCGTCTTCTTTGTACCAACGTGGTGTAAAAGAATAATGGAATGCGAGATCTCTCATTGCCAGTGTCTTTGCTTGACGATAAGTGACGCGCTTGCGCAATGTTGTTAAAGTAGACGATATCGGCGTGTGGTGTGGTGTGGTTGAGGAGTGAAGGAACGTGTCCAACGCGTCGGCAGGCACACCCCGCCATGATCGGGGCGGCGAGTCCGAGCTATGTCATCGTGCGGACATCTGGAGCTAACCCCCACCCCAACTCTACTCCAATACTCCAACCAGACCTCCAACATCGCATTGTGTATACTTCAGCTTTGAGTTTCCCCGGATTATTTCCCTTGTAGTCTCACCAACTCCTCACACAGGCACCAACCATGGCGTCCCTCCTCAAAAAGTCCTTAAAGCTCGCGCTCATCCAACTCGCCTCAGGCGCTGATAAGACCGCAAACCTCACTTCAGCGCGCCAAAAAGTGCTCGATGCCTCGAAAGCTGGCGCAAAGCTCGTAGTCTTGCCCGAATGCTTCAATTCGCCCTACGGAACAAAGTACTTCGACAAGTACGCCGAGACACTCCTCCCATCTCCGCCATCGGAGTCGCAATCGCAGACCTTCCACGCATTGAGCAAATTGGCGAAAGAGGCGGGCGTATACCTTGTTGGAGGAAGCATACCAGAGAGAGATGATAAGGATACGAAGAAGCTGTACAACACAAGTTTGACATTTGCGCCTAGTGGAGAGCTACTTGCCACTCATCGCAAGGTGCACTTGTTCGACATCGATATCCCAGGCAAGATCAAGTTCAAGGAGAGCGAGGTGCTGTCGCCAGGCAATAAGATCACACTGGTCGACCTCCCCGAATACGGAAAGATTGCGATAGCCATCTGCTACGACATACGGTTCCCCGAGCTCGCAATGATCGCGGCGAGGAAGGGCGCGTTCCTGCTATTATACCCTGGCGCATTCAATCTCACGACCGGCGCGTTACATTGGGAGTTGCTGGCGAGGGCTAGGGCGACGGACAACCAGGTCTACGTTGGATTGTGTAGTCCAGCAAGAGACATGGAGGCTGAATACAACGCGTGGGGACACAGCATGGTCGTTGACCCCAACGCGGTAGTGCTAGAGCAGCTCGACGAGAAGGAGGGTGTACTCATCCGCGAATTGGAGGCGGGCAAGATCGAAGAGACCAGGAAGGGAGTGCCACTGTATGGACAGAGGCGATTTGACGTATACCCTGACGTCAGCGAAGGTGGGCGGTTCAAGGAGTAGATAGAGCAATGATATCAAATATGAATGTGGAAGAGAGCAAAATTGTGTGAAATCCCATCATGGTGCATCATGCGCAGAGTTGTGACTTGTTCAAAACTCAATTTGACATGTTGCGTGGTGGATGGTAGGCGATGCCAAACGGCGCCTGAAACACGGGCAAAGATGGGGAGGTGGCACCAAAGCGAGGCCTTATCACGGGCGGCTTGGGGGGCACTTGCCAGGCGCACTCTGCCCAGCGGATGGGCGCTCTCGCTCTAATAGGCGGCCTACGCCACCCAAGTTGCACAACACACTGCAACAGAGATATGCACTGCGCGACGAAGACGAAATGCGCGCTGAAAGCAGACAATAGCTTCTACAAGGTAGTAGACGCTTGAAAGAGACTGCGCATAACTTTTGCGTGCAGTTTGTATGGATGCATCTTGAAAACACGCCTTTTGTACAGGCTGCAGGCGCGAAAAGTAAGCCTAGATCTGAATTTTGGGGGCATTAATTTACTGGTGCCCCCCCGAATGGGCTGGTGACTGCCCAAAAACCAGGGCACGTTCGCTTGTGTTTGGGCTGTCACTTAAGGGAGCTATGCCCCCGACCCCCCGAAATTTCAGCGCTCCTCCGCCCTTCCCGCGCCCTCCCTCTTCAACCTCCCGCCCGTCAACGCGTCTTCACCCTCTGCCCATACCACGCCGCCCAACATGGTCCCCAAGAAGAAGACGCCCGCCACCGGCGAATTGCTGATCTCTGTTGCAGAATTCAATCGGACCAGAGACCATGTACGTATCCAATTTCCCTTTTGCATTCTCCAATCGCAATTGCGACACGCGCGCATAGCTCTGTCGTCGCGTCGGAACACCACGCGGTCAGCGCGCATTATCGCGCCACCATCACGTCGCCGTATGGATACGTCTGTGTAACATGGATCGCGTAATCTACGCGACCCGATACATGGTGATTTTACAGTGCAAAATCTTACAATTACGCGCAGGTTCTGGGCTCTCTCCACAGCCTCCAGAATGGTCTCGTCAACGTACAGCACCAGATCACCGTCCTCATGGACCACTACAACAAGCACTGCGCATCAGTCCTTGGCATCGAAAAAGACGACGTCTCAACCGAGAACGATGCTATCACAAGCACCATCAAGACCGCCGCCAATGTTGTAGAGAGTGGCCAAAAGCTCATGGACAGCGTAGCCGGAGACGTTGGCGCGCCTGCTGAGAAGGCAATTGACGGCGTCAAGAGCAAGAAGCGCAAGCGCGAGAAGAAGGAAAAGGACCCCAATGCGCCCAAGAAGCCCCTCACTGCTGCTTTCCTCTACCACCAGCATGCGCGTCCCATCGTTAAGGCGGATCTCGAGGCAGCGCTCGCCCCAGGTGGCACACTCGCTCCAGCCGCCGTCCAGACCGAGGTCAACAGGCGCTGGGCTGAGCTTTCCGACGCGGAGAAGGAGGTAAGCACACAATCACAAAACCCAACAATCGACATCTCACTAACCCAATCGCAGGAATGGAAAGCATCCTACCGCAACTCCATGGAAGAATGGAAAGTGCAAATGGCCGAATACGTCAAGCAGAAGGGCATCAAGGACGCCGAAATCGAAGAAGACGACGCGTCCGAGGAAGGCGAACCAGAAATCGAAGCCGAAGTCGAAGCCGGCGCCGCAGACAGCGACGCCTCCTCGGAAGACGAAGACGAAGCGCCCGCCAAAGCCCCGTCTCCCCCCGCAAAGACACCACGCAAGCGCCAGAAGACGACGCCCGCTGTAAACGGCAACTCAATCCCCGTCTCCATCGCGCCCGCCACAGCGTCCACGCCCGTTCCTCTGCCTACCTCGCGCTCCGCACCCCAAGCCACTGCCTCAACCGCCCCCGCCGTCGCCGAAACCCCCGCAAAGAAAGACAAGAAGAAGAAGGAGAAATCCGCGCCTCAGCCCATCGCTCCTGCCCCAGCTTCTTCCCACGACGAACCCACTCCCCCCGAGGAGACTGGCGCCGCGAAGAAGAAGGCTAAATCCGGTCGTAGCACGCGCAACACGGAGCTGGAAGGCGATAAAGAGAACGCGGCGGCGCAGGAGAAGGAGAAGGCGGATAAGGCCGGTAAGGAGAAGAAGCGCGATCGGAGTAAGAGGAAGAGCGAGGTTGCTTCGTCTTAGAAGAGCGGCCGACTTCCTGGTTTCTAATTCTGCGGCTGAGTCTATGGGCTTTACGGTCGCAATGGTTCTCCGTACCTGTACACCTATTTCCCCTGTCGTCGCTGTCGCTGGGTTCCTTTTCATGGCGAATGGTGCGGATGGATATTCTGCTTTTTTCTTCGCGAAGAGTGTCGAGGTGGGCTTAGTGAGCCTCCCATCCAGTGTATCTCAAATGTTAGCGGGACTGGGTAAACTGTACAACTAGTCTCCTGTCTACTTCATGCCTTCTGTGGGAGGTAGGAATGGAGTTTAGACATGTGTATCGTGGAGATGCGCGAATATTACTGGTCATTTTACTTGGGTGTTCGATTGCTTTCATCTTCAATATGTGTGCGGAGATGGTGAGGTAGATGTGTTGGGTGAAAATGGGAGGAGGACGAGGGCTTTGATGTGTTGTATGGGTATTCATCAGAGGGCTATGCTGCTGTTAAAGCTGAAGTTCATATGTACCAAACACCAGTATACAAGGTCCAGGCCACAGCATATCTACCCAACCCAGCTGTACACTACCTAAAGCTGTTATACAAGTCCGACGCCTCCAAAGTAGAGACCAAACCCTAGCCCTCCATAGCATCAGCAAACACCTCATCCTCACTACTCTCCCCCATATCCATATCCATATCCCCCATCCTCTCATCCACACCATCAAGCCCCATACCCAACCTCACCTTCCCACCCACACTCTCAACCATCTTCTCCTCTCCTTCAACCTGTCCAACCCTGCCCAAACCCGCCCCAACAACACCTTCAACACCTTCCTCGCCTAGCACCCCCCTCATAACACTAATCCCATACCTCAACCTCTCCTCCTTCACCTCTTGCAAATACTCCAGCGTCAACCTTGCACACTCCTCCTTCGCCTTCTTCCTGCCGTAAATATTGCGTACCTCACCGATAGGTCCCTCGTGCTGTCCCGCGCCTTTAAAGAAACAGCATACGCTGTGGAATGTAGGATCGGAGGGGTGGGGCGTGTAGTTCCATTCTGGTGTGGGCAGGGCGAGCGTAACGGCGAGGGTCGCGACGCGGGAGGCGTAGGAGGGTGTGCCTGGGGGCGCGGGGGTGGGTGTTGTTGCTTGGATGGGGGTTGTGGAGGGGGAACTGGAGTTGTCTAGTAGTGGTGATATTGAGATGGTTTCTGGGTCGATGGGGGAGGCTTTCTTTCTCTTGCGGATGCCGCCGACGGCTGTGTCGTCAGTGGGCCAGGTACCCAGGCTTTTGAAGTGGTCGACGGCGTGGCGGGCGGCGTCTTGCCTCGCGGCTTTCTTTGAGGAGAAGAGGTTTGAGATGGAGCCGAAGGGTTGGTCTTCGCCGTCGATGGTGATGATGCAGGAGAAACGTTGCCCGGATTGGTAGTCGGTGTATGTGGGTTGGGGGGAGTCGGTTGCGCGCTGGAACTCTGATGGTTGTTAGCTGAATGAGAAGATCTATGCATCTCGACTATGGAGACGTGTGCCTTACTGTAGCACATAGACGAGAGGAGAAGAAAAAACATACCAAGTAGCTTCCCAACATAATTCTCCCCCGGCCCCTTCTCCTTCTCCTCCTTCCCCTTCTCCAAAACTTTCCCCTCCTCCTCATTACCCCCCTTCTTCTTCTTCCCCTTCCCACCTTTCTTGACCCTGCCCTCCTTCTCCAACTCCTCCAACACACCCAACGCCTTCTGACTCATAGCCTCCTTGGCTTCTTGCTTACTATTAAACTTCCTCTCTTCCTCGAACTTCAGTCCCTGCAGCTCCTCCGCATCATCTAGACCAGGGAAAGAAACGGAAACAGTCCAGCCTGTTTCACTGCCCCCTCCGTAAGTGAAGAGCGGTTGGGGAATGCCGAGGGCTTGGTACTTTTCGTGGAGGAGGATGGTGTGCCGGGATGAGCGCGCGCCGACTGCTACAGGAATAAGAGGGGTGGCTTTTTGGTTGGGAGTTTTGGGCTTCTTTGAGGGAGGAGCAGATGTAGACTGCTTGGTTTCCTTGACGAGTTTCTGGGCTTCATGCGCGTGTTTGTTCTGGATCATGAAATCGTCCATGCTGATCACGCCGTCAAGTGGCGTACTCGCGTCCAGAGCTCCTGCATGTGCACCTCCAAAGGAAGTGGGTAGAGGAGTGGGCGTATCGACTTCCATCTTTCTCTTCTCAGCCTTGTTAGTTGTGGAGGCTGTTTGCTCGTATTTCGTATCTGTGCTGCAAGGATCAGGAATCGTTCTCTCCAAATCGCTAGCAGCTGGACGTGAAGACGGAAGTAATGAACAAGAAGAAGAAGAAGAAGAAGAAAGTGTCGGAACAATCAAGTATCTCTTCAAATCCTCCCCCGCCGTATCCATAGCAAAGTCCGCGAACGAAGTAGCGTGCCGAGCGCTTGCTGTTGTCGTCGCTTGAAAGTGGAGCCTTCTCGCTGTTTGCCCCGCTCAATGCGGGCAAGCAGGCGTGACCGCGCGCCAGCGCGTTTGTCGAACTTGACGCGCCTCGGGCGTCTTGCAGCACTTTGGGCTGTAATGACGCCGGTGCGCACATGCGGTGTAGCGATTGCATTAGGTAAACAACATCTGTTATCGTGGCTGAGTGCAGCAGCAAAGGAATCATGCACATGCCCATGGTCTGAACATCCAGGGTACCCGAGGCGCACCGCTTCCCTTGCGGGTGTGGCCGCGGCCGTTGGCAATTACGTAGTTTATTCCATGGAGTCCGCCTACCTACATGCCACAATGTCCTTACAGATCGTTATGCGGGATCGGGTGTAGCGTTGTTGGGCTCCTCCCCCGAATATCAAAGCTTTTACATGTGCATATCTTGTCTATTTTAGGTTTGTATGCAGGTTGATCGGCTGTGCAGCGTAAGGAACGCCCTATCGACCGTTTAATGCCTGTGCCGGGAGTCTGACGCCATTGCCGTTGCTAGCGTGTAGTTTTGAGCGGCTCGGGTGTGTCTGTCAGATGCATGCGTCAGTGGGTCGGCCATGTTTCATGTATCTTCGCGGCGTCAAAGGGATCGGAAAAACTAAGGGCTGTTAAGCGTGCAGGACACGAGCATTTTGCGATCAGTGTGTCGAGACATGTCGTACGAGATAGGTATCAAATTTCGCTATCGTGAGACCTCTATACTCTTTCGATAATCTACCTAATCTTAATCTACATGATACATATGTAACCAACATAAAGTCATTTCGTCGTAAGCGGCCTCAAGGGGGCCGACCGAGGTCTAATAACCTCTTCCTGTTTGGTCTCTCTCAACTAGACCCGGCACACCGTAGTCTGGACCGTGTGTCTGCTCTTCCAAATGTTCTGTCCCATGAACGGCACCACTACCCATGTCGTCTTGAAATGGGCTTTGGAGCCCGTGCAAACCCCAAAAAGTGTGATTCACGTTGGGGAAGATACCCGCCACTGAATCCTGTCTTTGACCGACTTGCTGATATGGGTCATGGCCATGGACGGTGCCGTGATTTGCTGCTACCTGAGCATGGCCATCATGGCTCAGGTAAGGGCGGTACTGTTCTGCTGCGTTCTCGAGGTGCGAGACGAGGTGTGCGTGTTGCCAGTTGGGTTTGGCCGAATAGCAAGCTGCATTGGTGGAGTAGTGCAGATCATTGTTTGCATCCACTGGAATCAGCTGTCCATGTTCGCCGACAGCAAGCCCTATGGTTGCGAGTTCATCGTGCTCCAGTCCAGCAAGCGTATGCAATCCCTCATGTCCAGTACTTTGGCTAACGAAGCCTCCATATACCTGGGGGTTGCCAGATTCGAAGTTGCCTCTGATACCCACGTGCCCGCCGTTGAAGTTGAAGTCATTGCCTTGTGTGTTCGGCGATGCCATGCCTGAAGTACGTGATAGTGCGAAGCTTTCGCCAGAGAACTCAGCGGTAGTGGTGGCCACCGAGGTGTCGAAATGGTCTGAATCTGGTTGCATGGATCCGAGAGCATCGACGGAGAGAGTTGGTGGCAAGTAAGCATGGTGAGACTCAGTCTCGTATGAGTGGTGGCTTATATGTGTCTGTGCCAAGTCCAGCGGTAGTTGTGTAGTTTGGTAATAAGGCGTCGTATCCATATGTGTAGACGTTAGTATGGCCGGAGTACGCTTATGACCAAGTTCCGTGTCTTCCGAATCTTCAGTCTTGGATATTGCCTCATAATAAGATCTTTTTCCTGCAGCTGACCGATGATCAGCGAACTTCACGGAACGCCACTCAATGTTGCCAACTTCTGCAGATTCACTCGTCTGCTGGAACCTCCAAAGAACTGTAGTGAGGCATCGGACCTCGCCTGTGTTAGCAACAACACCATATATGTACTGTATTGCTGCCAGGTGTTGAAGCGATTCTTTGACACTTTCCTCGCTTCTGTGCGTCAGATTCTGGTTCTCCCTCATATGCCTCGCCCATGGCTGCGTCCTAAATTGCACGCATAGGACACCTTGAGAGCCTTGGATGTCTCGCCGATATTCGCAAGTGGATCGCGTTTCTTCCCGGTCATGCCTCGCGCGGTCAAATTGCGGGTCGATTACGTTGTCGCCGTTGTTGTAAAATCGCGTCATGCACTCCACATAGTCGTATCTTGACAAATCGGAATGCGAGTGAAGATCGAAGATGATGGTTAGGTCGGCATCTGGCGGCACCTCTGTCATCAAGGCAGTAGATGCGGTACCGACCAACACTTTCCGACCGTTCTCCATCCATTCCTCGGTCTCGGATCGGAGGAAGTCAAACTCGCGGTATTGATGGCGCCAAGAGGCAAGATCTACAACATCCGAGCTATCGAGCCTGCCATGCGATTGTGATTGAGCCACCCAGTGCATAGGCTGATGATCACCCTCAAGGAGGATCTTGAAGCCCGTGACTGCGAATGAAGAAGACAGCGCATCAGAATCCGGGCCGGAACCCAGGGCGAGGTCGGATTGTGGGCCGCTACAATGCGGCAAAACGTGCGGCGAGGAGGTACTGGAATCGGATTTGGTAACAGACTCTGTGCGCTGCGCATGTTGGCGGACATGCAGCTGTGACGAATAGGATGATCGGGCGGATGTATTCGTAGATCGGCGCTTAGAGACGTCCTCTGGTGTGGCCATGTAGAGTAGGACTGTCGTGCGGGTTAGTCTCATTTTGGTAGTCCCTAGCGGAACCCTCCCAATCACACCAGGAATAGCAACCGCAAAGCCACCGCCATTGCCTTCTAGAAGAACTTTGGAAGATAGGAATGCTCTGATGACTTGAAACTGGATCGACGCATGCGGGACCGCCGCCCCGATCATATGGGCGAATGAGAAGAGGCTGATGCCGATCGTTGCACGATGTACGAGACGGGCACTCACCAGCAGGAACACCTCTGAGCTTGTCCTTCAGGACCTGGAGATGGCTGGAAACCTGTTTGCGATCGCGTCTGATACCGGTGTCTCTGTAAATAGAATCCTGGATCAGCTCATTCCGCCCTCGCTGAGTGCCTTCGAGCATGTATTTCTTCCGACCCATTGGTGGCCATCGTACGAGTGCTGGGAGATGTTTGTCAGATGTTGGGCTGGAATCGTGAAGCTGCGTAATCATAGGTGGTGGGAGAATAGAGGTGGAAAACGCAGGTAGTGAGACAGAGGTACTGCGAGATGCGGTGTAATGGAAGCGAAGACTTACCCGTCCAGAAGGCTTGTTCTAAGAAGTCAGGCCAGACGGTCTTGTCCTTCTCCTGCTGTAGTCCCTGTGCCTTTCTCCTTTCCTGCTCTTTTTTCTCTGCAGCGTCTCTCGCGACGACTTCGGCCGGTGTGAGAGCTGGTTGCTTTTCGCGATATGTCTGGTACTTCTCTGACCGCTGAAGTAGCTTGTATAGTCGCCCGAGTTCGCATCTGATCTGCTTCTCCGATCTCTCGACGCCGAAGCCTGCCAATCCGATGTGTTGTGCGTGTACATTGCCCGTGTAATAGTTTCCTGTGGCGACGCTCCGCTGTGCGTGAGAGCTGTCGGAGGGGCTGAGACTGCTTCTTTGTCCCACTTGTGGCGAAGCTGTACTGCTATGAGTGTTGTGAGACTGCGCAGCGTAACGCTCCTGGAGGACGTCTCGATGTTGTGGCGATCCATCGACCGGAGTACCTTCCAAGAGGGGAATGTCCGCCGACAGCCTGGACAAGGGCTGGGGTGACTGGACCTGCATGGCGGCTATGGCATGCAAACCTCAGAATATGAAACCAGCGATGATAAGTATGGATGAGACTTGAAGTACAAAGCAATGAATGTTGAGCAGTTGAAGCAACGAGTGTGGTGAATGAAGACGAGAATGTAGCTGGGTATGCGGCGAGGTTTGCAGATGATTGCATTGATAAAGTATGGTCCAGATGACGGGCCCTAGGCAGGAGGACTACATGATGGGCACGTAGGCCATAGCACCGACCGTAGGGTGCAATACGACTTCCGCTAGCCGGAAATTGATAGAGGGGCCAGTCATCGGGGTGACAGTCCAGTACCACAAGATTAAGATTGGAGTGCGTCGTGCCTTCATCATGGCCTCCAAAGAGTCCCAGTTCGACTTTTGGCCATTGATCACATCTCTCGTGAAACCTTTGCTGTTGTAATGGTAAATGTAGCGTGGTTAGCAGAGTGATCAAGGGCATGGAGTCAAACTGCCATCTGTTCGACAGTCACCTGATTGGCCATAGGCGAACAGAGCCATCACGGACTGCTCAAAGCAAGGATAGAGGTCAGTGTCCGCAAACAACAAACTACGTCAAGTCTGCATGATCGACAAACGTCTCGTTCATGGCTTCTTTACTCCCTTTGGAGTAGTCTGAAACGCCGTGTGGTGGCCATGCCCATTGATGCAATCCACTGGCGATATACCCTGTCGAAGCTTAGAAAACGGTGTTCTAGATATAGCGTCGTGCAGCAGGTCAAAGCACCCTACTACTTCCTACGGACCGCGGCAAAGGGCGGCCTAGCTTGTGTGGCCGGGGAGCAAGGGATGGCGTCAAGGTATGACGGTGTCGCGCGCGCAACTCCTATCGGAATACTCTTGCGCTCAGTCGTCTAGATCATCGGTGCCTGCAACGTTAAACTTCTTGCGACCACCTTCTGTAAGGCGTTGCAAGGCGACCTTGTTGGCCTGTGCTCCCACCTTCTGTTGCATCTTCTCTAGCTCCTTCTCTGGATCATCAGACTCCGTCTCAGCAAATGCAAGGACCAAGCGACGGCCCAACAAATGTGTGTTCTTCAATGCGTTCATGGCGTTTACAGCATCGCGTTTGGTGGTAAACTCTGCGAAACCGAAACCACGTGAGGAAGCGTCGAACTTCTTGGGTACTCGTACAGATCGAAGCTGACCGTAAGGAGTGAACAGAGCACGAACATCCTTTTTGCTGGCTTCGAACGGCAAGTTCTTGATGAGAATCTTCGTGCTTGCCGTCTTCTTTGCTGCATCTTCGTTGCGGCGTTCTTCGGCGGCATCGGCGCCCTTGTGGGAAGCTTTGATGAGAAGCTTGTGCCCTTCGAGATCGTGTCCATCCATGGCTCGCAAAGCTGCAGTGGCAGTCTCTGGACTGTTGAACTCGACGAAACCAAAGCCCATGGACAGCACGCCTCGCTTGGGGTCGGTCTTGGTCTTCACAGTGGCACTCCGGAAACCTGCCAGAGGTTTGAAGGCCTCCGTGAGACGCTCAGTCGTGGTGGAGAAGTTCAAGTTGCGCACGTACAAAGTGGCGGTGTTTGTTGCCTCGGGCTCAGGGTCGTCCACGAGCAGGTCAGTTGCAGAAAGCTTCACGCCAGGCTGTGAGGACTGCAAAGGCTGGGCGGACGGCGTGGTCTGCACAAAGTTGGTTGCTACACCTTCCTTGAACAGATCCTTGGGGGCCTTTTCGAGGTACAGAATCGAGTCTTTCATCTTCCGATACGACAGCGACATGAATGCAGTCTTTGCTTCCGCAACGTTCGAGAACTCGACAATAGCTGTCATACCGGTCGGCGGCATCAGGAATTTGGTCACTTTGCCGTGTTCCTCGAACAGTTTGCGGAGCTCATCGGCCGTCACGGTATGAGGTACGTTCTTGACGAGGATAGCCAAATCACCTTTGGCGCTGCGTTGAAAGGCCTCCAGGTCGACGCCATGCTGGGCAAAGTACGACTTGGTCTCTTGGATTATGTGTGTCTCGGCATGCGCTTGCCTGACTGCAGCGTCTGATGAAGTAGGGTCGAGCAGCTCACCCTTGCTGATGCCCATGCGACTTGCGATGGTGGACATGACTGCATCAGCATTAAGGTAGAGCGAGTTCCAATTGAACGTGGCCTTGACCGCCTGTTGTTTCCTTCTGATCTCCTTTTGCTTCTTGAGAGGCAGCTTGGAGATCTCGTAGTCGTCGAGCTTGGTATCTTTCTTCGCTTTCGCGGAGATGATGTGAAGGAGGCGTCCCTGGAAGATGGTGTTGTCGTTGTCAAGGTAAGCTTCTACTGCATCGCTCGGGTTTTGGAATTGCACGAAGGCGAAACCTTTACCCTTGCCGTCCGCCTTCTTCAACGGCACATGGACCTGTCTTAGTCAGCAACTGTTCGTACAAACGTACGTGTGTAATCAAGGAGTGGTTGCCGCTATCAGATAAGAAAGACATCTACTAAAATACTTTCACAAGGTAACTTCAGGTGCCGAAGCATCAGTTGTCCCTATCTTGACGTTCATCATTGCATGGGCGGGTAAAGAAAGAGATATATGACGACTTACTTCTTCGAGAGCTCCGTGCTTGGAGAACTGTTCCTTAATCTCATCTTCTGTCACCTCGTAGTGCAGGTTTCTGAGGTACAGTCGACCAGTCTCGCGAATCTTGTCCTCCTCGTCAGGCGCGGTAGCAGCATCGGTCTGCTCTTCCGCCGGGGGTTGTGGCTCTGGTTGTGCGTCGGGAACGGCCGGTGAAGGCTCAGCGGGTGCGTGTCGCTGGGCAGCTGGTTTCGGTGCTACAGTGACAGGAGCCGTGCTAGCTGATGGCATTTCATCATCTTCCACGAGCTCCAAAACCCTGTTTGTTCTCGACCGCAGCCAGTCCTCATCCGTGACAGGTCCTTGTTCGACGGCTGGCGCTACTTGTACGTCCTCCATCGCGTCACCACCTTGTACAACTTCTGGTTGAATCGCTGCTGCGCTTGGCTCAGTGGACGTTGACTGGGGAGCTGCTGGAGGTGGCGCGGTTGCAGGCTCCTCAGCAATCTTTGGCTTCTTCGAGATGACTTGATATTCATCGTCGCTCTCGTCCTCTGGTACAGCGATTGCCGGTACAGCCTCTTCAGCGGCTGCGACAGGTGCTTCATTGAGCTGGGTATCTCCATTGGCCCAGATGCTGGTCTTAGACGGCGGCTGATAGACCTCCAAGAACTCCTTCAGCTTCGGGTCCTGCTCGGCTTCCTCTCGTTTTCGCTTGAGGTCGTTTTCTTGCCGTTCCGGTCGGTACTCGTCGCTTACTGGGGCGCTCTTCTCGAGTTTCTGCTGCCGCCGTGACTTTGGCAGTTCCTTGTCGGCGATCTGCGCATGTTAGCCCCGCTTGTCGCCATCGTGGTCGCAAAGTACATACAGGTCGCGCAATCTCTGCGTAGATCTTGGTGAGTTTGATGAAGGTCTTGTTGAAGTACTTGACAGCCTTTGCAGCATCTTCGGGTGTCTTGTAGCCAACATAGCCGATGCGTCGGTGGTTGAAGAACTTTACGTCAGTGATGGGAAACTTGGCAAAATGTTTTCGCACTTCATCCTCGGTGAAGTGGGAGGGCAAATTCCTCACGAAGATGCGTGACGACTCCATGCTGTAAGAGTCTTGCCTGCCCGGGTTGTGGTGTCGTGGAAGGAGTAGTGGATGTCAGTGTCGCGTTCTGAAGAAAAAAGTGAACGACGCATGGGCCGGCAGCCCACTAGCGCGCATTAGGCTCACAGGGAAAGGCCCGAGCGCAGACCGCCGCGAGCGCCTGCTCAAACATCATGACAAGGCCCTGGACAAGCCTCACTCAACCACGCGCATTATAAGAGCTCGCCTACTTTGAAGAAAGCTACACCAAACCACTCAACCTTTGATATACATACAGATCAACACCATGGCCAGCGACAAGTCAGATGCCCACAAGCAGGATGGTAGGACCCCTTGTTCCTCTCAACACGTCTGCCAAAGTACAAGCTAATGCAGTATGCAGCTCAAATCAAGTCCGCAGACATGGTACGGGATAGCTAGGCTGCTGCTTCCGGATTCATATTGACATGTGTGACAGAGCGACGAGATGCAACAAGAGGCCATTGAAGTCGGTAAGTCAACTGCTTCCAACATGCGGCTGACGGAACGCTGACGGTTTGTAGCACAGACTGCTATGGAGCAGTTCACTATCGAGAAGGTAGGTCTTTGTTTTCCGCTCAGGCCGAGGCCACCCTGGGACCGTACTGACCCTCCACCTGTAGGACATTGCCCAGTACATCAAGAAAGAGGTATGATTATGCCTCCAGGAGCTACAGGAAGCGCGCGCTAATTGCTCTACAGTTCGACAGCCGGAAGGGCGCCACATGGCACTGCATCGTCGGCCGTAACTTTGGAAGCTTTGTCACCCATGGTAAGCTAACCTTTCTATGAGAAACATTCGCTTAATGATATCTGACTGGATTGCAGAAACGAAGCATTTCATCTACTTCTACCTCGGCCACTGTGCTATCTTGCTCTTCAAGACTCAGTAGACGAATGCGACTGAACCAAGGCGCCCGTGACCTCTGAAAGTCTCATCCATCCTCTCTACTCAGGTCTTTTCTGTGGAGCCAGCATTACGTCTCTTCTCATATTGAGAGACGCTGCCTCACTCTCGCGGTATGGATGTGATCCTTCAACGGAGGTCTGTGGGCTCTGCAATTCATCGGTGTTGGCATGCGAAGGATAACGAAGGGCTTGTACTATCCTACTCTTAATGACTGTCACGAGTCTCTTTCCGACAAGAGTGGCTTTAGAGGCTACCGCTCGATACCATAATGAAGAGTTGATGCTCAAACTCCATCAGCTATCTGTGATTTGCCTGGCGATTGTGATCAGGTGACTGACATCCACTGCGAATCACGATGCGGGCGCAGCAGTCCCCGTCAGGTAAGAGCTAGCCGTCGATCAAGTCCTCCGCCACATCCACTTCAATCACATCCCGACACTTCCGCTCTTGCACTCTGCATTTTGCGCAACACAATGATTAATCTACCAAGGCATCAACACGTCTGAAGTACGTACCTAGGCACGTGGGGATACATGTATTAAGCGCCGCGGGGAATGCCGCTAGCCCGATGGATCCCCAAGCCAAGCGCCAGGTGTGGCTGAGACGCATCGATGATGACGCAGCTTCCTCGGCGCCAATGGTCTTCCACCAGCGACCAGAAACCCGCGCCTCCTCCCATTGCAACACATTTCAGACGACTCTACTTCCTTCCAGACAAACTTCTCGACTGTACATAACCCTCAGCATTACGCGCTATTACATACACGAGTGTCACACACGAATAATACCCATCGACCGAACGCGTAGCATCCGTACCACTCGTCGCACGCGCATCGTTCCACCAGCCCGACCACGAAGAGACACCCGCCCCCAAATCGGGAAACACACGTATTACAACGAGTACTGCGCTACACGCGCATACAATCCGCGATCATGTTCTTCTTCTTTACCTGCGGAACGCACAGTACGTCACCCCATCGTCCAGCATGCACCCTCACCCTCGTCCTTGCCTCCCCTTCTCCAGCCATGCCAATTCGTACCCCCAACTCTTCAAGTCCACGAGCTAACACTCCCTCTAGCCTTCACATCCGCCCTCAAAGGCGCCGAACACATCCAACTCCACTGCCAAAACTGCGGCAACCCCACTGGCAAAGTGATGAAGCGCTGGGAATGGTTTACCTTCTGCTTCATCCCCGTTATCCCATTCAGCCTGAAACCGTATAAAGAAGTCGGATGCCACGTCTGCAATTTCTGGCAGGACATCAAGTACCGTCCGGAACCCGAACTGCAGCAGTTCGGCGGTGGGGCAAAGGTGCAGGGCGGTGCTATGCCGATGAATGGGTATGGTGGACATGGTGGAGCTCCTGGTGGTGGTGCGCCAGGGTATGGGCCGCCGCCGCAGGGTGTGCCGCAGTATAAGTAACTGGGGAAACGAGAAGGCGTAGTGGAGTTGAGGGGTGTGTGGTGTGGCGTTTGCGGTTGAAGTCTGGGGACGGCATGGAGCATTGGGAGATACCAACGGAGCATGGAGAGGATCGGTTGATGTCCAGCCTGGCCCGTCTTGTTGTTGTTTCGCACTTTTATCTGGCGTTTGGGTTTCGCATGATACTGATACCAACCTATATCCTTGACATTGCTTCTAATCGAATACTACGCACCTTATGAACGTTGCACCTTTCTCACTCAAAGTATGCGTTGTGCATAGCCACTCAGCCTTTAAACCATCTCTTGTAGGTTTGAGGTCGCTCTATCTTGTTTAACTCAAACTGATTGCAAACTTTCCAATACATGAACCTGCCATTCTGGTTTGCACTACCTATCTGCCCTATCTTACATCGCTTTACGACAAACCAGCTGTCTTCGCGTAAATTGAGAATCCTCTTTCTGCACAAGAAGACTACATGAAGTGTCTCACATGCATCTGCCACCCAACTAAACAATGTGCAGAATCTCCTCGTTGCCTATTAAGCTGTTAGCACGAACAATAAGATGTCTTAGAAGTGCGTTAGCAAAGCATAGCAAGGGAGCTACATACTAGTAATAAGTTAGCAAGATATCTTGAGAGCTATTTGTGGCGGCTACTTTACCCTAGCGGAAGGCTGGACACATCGAACCCCTTCCGGGTTTCCAATGTCATGTAACCAATGCGCTTGTAGGTGTTCGTTGCCCTATTCACCTGTTGCAGAACCAACATGGCATAGAGATATCCCTGTCCCACCTTGTACTGTCCCATATCGTACACGCTCATGAGCAGCGTTTTGATCTGTCCGGTAGACACGATAGCCCTCTTGCTTTCCGAATGCCCCGATTCTGGTGGAAGATCGATGTAAATCTTGCGCTCGCATTTCTTCCAAGCCCGATGGTCTGGGTATTTGATGACTTCGCCTGGTGGTGCGAAGGGCTGATATGTGCCTTCAACGTTTACAAGCAAACTGCGGCCTCGCAAAGTTAACTTCGCGGAGAGCAATTGCCCATATTCGTCTCCTCCTCTCGCAGGGACAATTTCCTTCCCGATATAAGTGGCTAGAGGCGTGGAGTGTGAAAGCCATTTTGGCCATAGGACTCGCCCCACGATAGACCCCCATGACCATGATGGTGCACGCCATGCTGTTGGTGCGGATGATTTGTCATCATGATCGGAATACCATAGTAAGTCGTACATGAGGCTGCTCTCCCATAATCCGGCCATGTAAGCCGACTTCTTCATCGGGTACAACTGTCTGCTGACTCCTTGCAATGCTGGGAAGCAATCCGTTTCGTTAGACAACTCCGCATTAGTGTATTCGCTGACAATACCATGCCAAAGAGCTACACACTCAGCCGGACTAGAGTGACGTATTGTGTTGAGGTATTTAGGGCTGCGCAAATTTCTGAAGGGCAATGTCGTGGCGTCCCACCAGAACGAGCACTCGCATTTGTTCTCCGTCCTACAAGCCCAGAACATCTCTTCGGCTGTGAAGTGAACCAATCTTCGGGATAGCAGACATTCTTGTAACGTCCAGCCACGCGTCAGTAATGGATATCGGCCATATTTCCATGCATAATGGTCTATGCTGGGTCGAACGCAAACGTCCAGCATGGAGCCGTTCGTATCCGGGTACGAGAACTTGCTGACAGGACGTTCCGGATGTTTGCGGAAACAGCCTTGCGATGGGACTTTTGCGTCGCTGGCAGCAATGGTAAAGTCGGCACCGGAATAGATCTGTGCCATTCTGCTGCCTTCTCTTCGCCAATCTTCATGGTCACCTTGAATGATACAAAGACTGTCGATCCACAAATATTTGTATCCCAACCTGTAGGCGAAGGAGATGGCATCCTGGAATGTTTGAGGGAGTTTATCCGAAGGGATTCTTCGCTTGTGTTCGGCCAGGGTCGCCGTCGTAGTTGTCCTAATTGTAGCTCCTCCCCAGCAGTGACTGAGACAAACATAAGGCTTCACTTCGCCGCGGGTCTCATACAGCTTGATGTTTGTTGGATCTTGGATCAGAACGACGCGAGTTGGGAGGCTCGATTTGGCACCCTTGCACAACTCATGTTTGTGATCGCATTCTCGTAACCATGAGGAGACTCGTTGAACAGCTTCATCAGAACCTGAGTCTGAAACGGCTTCATGCGGAAGACGTGGTATTCGCCACGGATTGTTGCGACCTGAAGACATTAGTTTGTGATAAACAACTCGGCCTTCGCAGACTTACCCTGTGGGTCGAACACCTCCCATGACGCATCTGGGTAGCATTCCAAGACAAGTCGTGACTGTTCCACTCTGCATGATATCCTTTGGTTCAAGCCAAGCTCAAACGGCCGATTTGAGCCTTTGGTGACCAGGGCACATTTGTGTACAATACCACATAGTGTTAAGCAACCGGCACATCCCTTATCAGCGGACGTCATCAGAACTCCAACAGTGACTCCGCCTGCGACCGTAGGCCACTCGTTGTTGTAGCATACTTTGCATTTCTTTGCTTTTGCGTAAGCGGAACTGACTCGTTTGACACGATCACCACCAATTTGACTCGACGCAAAGATACGCATGCCTTTCGCAGGCAGAGGCTTCGTATTGCCATCCCCACCCCACCAGGATGGCGGTGTCCACCTGAGTATCTCTGTCATCTCGAGTCTGTTGGGAGAATACGAGTTTGGCTGGATATTCCGGAACAGGTCTGCAGACTACATCAAGTCAAAGACCCTATACAAGAAACAAACTGAACAGGTCTGCAGGCTACGTTAAGCCAAAACCTTGCAAAGGTGGTGACCCAGCGCCAATGTAGGCTCCAGGCTGTTCAATCGGTTGGCGTGGAAGCGATAGGTAAGGGAAACAAAACTGCCACGAGCACGATCGGTACGAAGAATTCAGAGAGATGAGGTAAGTTTGCGCGAAGCTCGTTGTATGCTCTCAGAGAGAGCGCGCTGCAACAATTTATTCTCAACATCATTGTAGGATCGCGTTGAGTGTTCCGTACAGATGCAGAAGCGCTGGGTAGACGATTGGCTCGCTTTCTGTGATCACACTGCATTGCTGGGGTCTGAGTGATGCCGCGCGCAAACAACTCTACCTATAGCCAGATATATCTCTTAAGCGCGACGATAGAATCAGCAGCCGCTGTGAACGGCGTCTGGGTGATCTATTCATGATGATCTTCCAAGCTGGATTGGAGGTCGTTGAATGATCGCAAACTTTGGGGGTCAACCTGGTCTGTTCGCGAGACATGGTTGGCGAAGTAGGCGATTTAGGCGAAGCGGTTTCTCTATCGTGCAGCAGCGAGACTCATCAAGCCTGAATGAATAGACATCTGGAGTGCGCCTTTGACTTAGACTGCGGACCAATCCTGCTACGAGCTGGTCATCAAGACGGTAGTTTGGTATACGGTATGATTGCGATAGCTCTGACGTCGTTGTTCGCTGGAGTGCGGTCTGGTGCGTCACCGCAACATCATCAAGCCTGAACTGAAGGCGCTGACTCTTCCTCAAGGGTTAAAACTGGGTCGACGCGCGATCTGTCGCGACTGCTATATCTGGAGATGAAGGAAGTTTGAAGCCACGGCGCACCATCGGAAGGTTTGGTGTTTTAGTGGCCCGTGCGCCTTCTCTGTCCCGCGAGGGGTCGCGGCAGCAACTGCCCTGCAGCACATCTTCGACGTAACTCCACTATCCTAGTGTAGAAACATGTCGGCAGTGTCGAAACATAGGGACCTCCGAGTCCAGAAATGTACTCGGCCCCGTTTCGCGACCGCTGGCACCGCATCGGCAGTCTCGAGTATGCGGATGGCGGAACCCCGTTGGGCGGGGACCCGAAGCCAAACGTCGCAGAAGGGGACGCAAATAGAAGTGCTGGAATATGGAGCACGACAGATATAAAGACGAAGGGAACGATGGGATGAGATATAATTGCAATACCATACTATAACAGTAACACTTTCGCCTACCAGAACCACCAGAAACAAAAGTCATCATGTTTGAGAAGAACGAATTGAAGCCGACGTTCGATGGTTGGTCCTCTCTGCGGTCTCTTGCGAGCATGACTAACAAGCTCAGACGTTATGGGTTGCCAGTCGGCGTGCTATGAGTGGGCAGACAGCTACGATAGCAAGGTCGGTCGACATGCACCGCTGCTCAGCGATAATCACTTACACATCGCAGGACTGGAACCGTCTTAGCAAATGCATCGCCCCCACATTGAAGATCGACTACCGATCCTTTCTCGACAAGATCTGGGAAGCCATGCCTGCAGACGAGTTCGTCGCCATGGCCTCGGACCCCAACGTACTAGGCAACCCTCTCCTCAAGACACAGCACTTCATCGGCGGCACGCGGTGGGAGAAGACTGCAGAGGACGAGATTACCGGGTACCACCAGCTCCGTGTGCCCCATCAGAGGTACACCGATGAGTCCCGCACCAAGGTTGCCGTCAAGGGCCATGCCCACAGCTTCAACACGCACTGGTACAAGAAGATCGACGGCGAGTGGAAGTTTGCTGGACTGAACCCGGATATCAGATGGTTCGAGTACGACTTCGACAAGGTGTTCGCCGAGGGCCGTGAACAGCTGGGCGAGGCCAAGGCTGCTGCTGGCATCCCAGAGAAGGTCCCTGGGCAGGCGATGTAGGATAGGATAGGAATCTGCTTACTAAGATACCACTACGAATGATAGAAGACATTACAACATTGTATTTGATATCCCTCAGTCTGGTGTACGTGTTCCAAGCGCACAACGGTCGTGATATGTGTCTGTCGAGCTGGTTGGATGCAGGCCTCAGCGGCCGGCCGTCTAGCTGCAGGCGGTGGGACCACTGAGAGAGGATGGAGGGGCCCATGGCGGTACAGGAGTGTGATTCGACCGGCGCAAAACTGCGCGGCTTGAGTACAGAGTCCAGCGATGCGGCGCGAGCATGGGTGAGATATGGATTGGAAAGGCTGCAGACTGCAGAGGCTCTCGGTGAGGCACCGCCCCGCACATTGCGAAAGCCCGGTGACGACTTCTGGCTGCAAGTCATCTACGCGGCCAGGGGTGGGTCGCCTATTAATAACGCAGAGCAGATCGCACGCAGCCGGCACCGTTCTTCATCTGGTCGATGCCAGCGTGGCAGCCGTGTTGAGCCTCTGTAGCGAGATGCGATGGGCCACTCGCAATGGAGCCGCTTCATCCTTGGGTCGCGCAATCCTTGTATCGATCGAAAGCTTAAACCTGCACTGGTCTACGCCATCCGCGTCCCCAGGTTCGCGCAGTCATCGCTACCAAAACCAAGCGAAGTAAATCCTAGCGGATTCTCGGCGCCGTACATCATCTGCAGTTCTTCGCTCTTCTACCGACCCCGCCCACCGACCGACCTTCCTCCCACACTGCCCAACACCTGCTGTCGTCGATCGTCTTTCCTCTCCGATTTCTCGCGTTTGTGGTGTTTGGATCTCATCTGCTTCTCCAGTTCGCCGGTGTCCTTGAGATTTTTCGGTATGTATATCTCATGAGCAATTTTCATCTCGTCTTGGCGGGCCGCCCACTGCACAATTTCGTGCACCGGGGCATGGGAGCTGCGGACTGCACAATCAATTCGGCCACCGCCCGTCTGCTACGCCATGTGCGTCCATCGCCTACTGACGTCGTCGCCTGCACGGACTTGGTCGCGCGGCCTGCAGCAGCGCTGCCTCCAGCCCGAGCCAGCGTCGCGCATCCCGACGCGCTCTCACTGCCGTGGGTGTTGCGAGCACCTGTCGTGACATGGGCCTCGTGCGCCCGCCGCATGTGATGCCTGACATGAAAACTACGGTACTGACCCGCCCACTCAGATTTCGTTCGAGCTTCCTCACGGTCACTCCTTCGCTCTCCCTCACTCACACCCACTCCTTCGTGCGCGACCTGGAGTTACTGTCGCCGCTTTTCCCGACTATCTCCTAGGCGTGTTCCTTGGCCTGTACTCTCTACTGCCTCCGCGACTGCAGTGATAGAAGGAGCCGGATCTAATCGGTAAGTGCAGCCTGCCACCCTTCCAGCTCCTTCACCCTGCTCCCGCTGCCTGACCTCCTGCGCGCACACTCACCGGAACTAACAATTGCTTTTTCTGCGCAGACTATATAAACGACGCTACGGTTCTCTATCATAATTAGAGCTCATA